CCAAGCAGGTCCCGGCTGACCAGTACAGGAGCTTGGCCGAGAGCGCCCTCTTGGAGCCCCAAGTGAGAAGATACATCATCTACAACTCAAGACCTATGCGGCTGGCCTTTGCTGTGGTAAGGAGGGAGGTGGGCCCACACTGACCCTGTGGTGGCCCGCTCTGGCACTGCCGCATTTGGCATCGTGGCCTGGAGCCTGTTGGTGCGTGTAAGGGGTTTGGAGGCTGATGGCTCGAATGCCTGGAAGAAGGCAGTACACATGGACCCAGATTTTGATGTAAGAGGGAATTTATGGCAGAGCGTTGTAACAAGGTCTCTATGTAAAGGATGGAGGCAGGGTTGACTGAGGGTAGAACTTGGGATTGGGGATTTGCAGACCCACCACTGAGGCTCTGGACTCCGTATCTGGCTTTGGTCAAGACTTTTCACCTCTCTGGAACATGGTTCCCCCATCTGTTCAACAGATATGTCCATGTCAGCTCTAACCATGTGTGTGTGTACAACCATGTATATACATACATATAAACATGCGTATATATGGTAGAGCCAGTATTTGGATCCAGGCAGTCTGGTTTCAGCATCTTAACCACTGTGATTTGCTGCTCCCCTATGTAGATAAATAGCACTCCCGACCCCCACGTCCCGCTTCTCAGGAAAGGAAAGAAATGGCAACTGTCTTTTATAGGCTGTTACACATATTACAACCCTTATATCAACTCTGTGAAGTAGGTATTCACCCCATTTTACAGATGAGGACACTGAGGCTCAGAGAGTTATTATGACTTGTCCAGGCCACATTGCTGTTGAGGGATCAGTGTGGGCTTCTGTCTCAAATTTCTCTCCCATACAAGCTCTCTGCCCTTTTCTGTTTTATTTAAAATCAGGGCAAGCAGGGATTTGGAATAACCATTCAAACCCTGTTCCTCTACCTTCACTTACGATCAGGGAAGAAGGGCTCATTCTCATAGGCCCCCATCAGTCTCTTATGGGCCCTGCGAGTTCTGTGAATCCAGGGAGGTGACAGAAGTGTCCGAGGGTGT